GCCGCCTCGGCGCTCCGCGGGCGGCTGCGCGGACACCGCGGGAGCGGCAAGGCACCGCCGGCTGCTCCCCCGGCCCCAGCCCCTCGCCCGGCAGCCCCACCGCGCACCGGCACGGCTGATGCCACTCGCCCACCTCCAAGCCCCGTTCTTCCCCAGGGGACCGGGCTGCCGCTGTTGCATCTCTCTGCGTGCAGCAGGACGAAGAGGGAAACCAGCCGCAGGAAAAGCCAAGCAAGGGACGTGCCCTGCCCGCCGCCCCCGCCGCCGGCCGGAGGCTCAGCCCCCGGCGTGCAGCCGCCCCCCGCAGCCCCGGGAGCCGCCGCCGCAGCACGGCACAGCCTCGCCTTACCTCCCCGCCCCGGCTCCGGGGATGCGCCGCAGCTGCTGCCGTGCCCGCCTCCACCTGCGCCGTCCCTCCCAGCCCGGCGCTCAGGTGCGGAGGGAGCACAAAGGCAGCGCTGCGGCACGGTGGGGGCAGCGGGCTCTCCCCCGCCGAGCCCCGCTCCCGCCGTCGGCAGCCGCCCGCTCCCCTCCCTGCCGGCACCGAGCGCCAGCCCACCTCAGCCGCTGCGGGGCCGCCCCCCCGCCCGAAAGCGTGCAACTTTCCCCGAGCCTCCCCTGGAAAGCCTCCTGGCGCTGCGGTTGGTGCCGGCGCTACGGAGCGCCTCTCAGCCTGAGGAAGTTCCGCGGTCCTGCGGAGAGCTGAGGGGACACGCTGCCTCACGGATTCCCCACCACTGACACCCCCCGGGCTCTCCCCACTCCGCTGCCCCGGCAGACACGTACGGGCAGCCCCCACAGCGCCCGGGGTACAGACCCTGGGCCCGGTGCTCGCCAGACAGGGCGGCCGCCGCCCCCCGGCCCGTCGCCGCTGGGTACGTGTGTGGGGAGGGGGGGACAGGTGACGAAGGGCAGGGAAGAGCCGCTTCCCCCCAGCGGGATGGTCTGGGGTGCAACACCGCTCCCGCCTTCCCCCCACCCCGTCTCTGCAGCTGCCCCCGGGAAGGGCTGCGAGGCTGGCAGCCGACAACAGCCGCCCCCTCCCCCGGGAAAGCTGTTCTGCCTCCTTCTCCCTCGCTCGCCTTCTTTTCAGCTCGGCCGCTTGACTGACAGGGAGCCTTCCAGCGGCCGCCCACGCGCGCTCCCGTTTCCCTTCAGTCGGAGAGGGAGATGGCGAAGGAGAAAGCATGAATGGAACAGCCAGGCAGCGAGTGGGAGCAGCCGGCCCGGCCCCCGGGGGCGCCGGGGCCGCTGCCGCAGTGATGCCCGGGGGCGGCGGGCTCGGCAGGTCGGCCCCGCTGTGGGCAACCACGCCGTGAGGGCAGCCCCAGACCCCGCCGTGAGGGCAGCCCCGGGCACCGCTGTGAGGGTAGACCCGCCGTGAGGGCAGCCCCCCGGGCCCCGCCGTGAGGGCAGCCCCCCGGCTCCGCTGTGGGCTCCTGAGAGAGGGGAGCCGGCGGCCGCTGACTGCCCGCGGCACCCCCGGCATCCCTGCTCAGAGGCCGCCTGAAGACACTGCGATCCCTCTGCTGGGTTTCTGCCCACAGGGCAGAAGGTGGAAGGTTGATGCCTTCTCGAGCCAGAGACACGACTGTAGCCTTAGAGATGCCTCAGCAACTGGTTAGTTTCTTATCTGTAAACCCACTTCGCTCCACCAAAGGCAATTCATTTTGTACTCATAAAAATCCAGCACCTAATACCTGAACTAGTACTGTTGTCCAGAAGTAATAGGAGGGAGAAAACAATCTCAACATTCATTTAAAACCCACTTTGTTTTTCCAGTGATTAGTTCATACTATTGGTCAGCCTTGTAATCCCCGTTTCCATCAGATCAGTTGTCACAAAAATGCTTGTGACTTGTTAAGCACACACTTCACAATCTCTGGCTGGAGACCAGAGGCTGTCCCAGTGCTTTGGCATGACTATTTTAAAATTTGGTTTGTGATGTTAGTTTTAGTAGCCTTACTGCACAAAGAATTAAATGTTCAGGTAGTGGAGGCCTACAAAGTGGTTACCTCTCTATCCATTCACTGAAAATCAGTAATTCCTTTAACTAATATTTCATGTGTTTTCTTGACTTTATTCACTAGAATTCTTGATTTGAACACACAAAAGTATTTATTTGTTTAAATATCAGACAATTTAAATTGAAAAGAACATTTTCTACTTCTGAATATGCATGGAAATTTTTGTTTTATGCTGGTACATACATTGCATGCTGCACTTGAGACATCTACATTTGCAGTTACATAATCAATAAACATGGGGTTTCGTCCCATTAATCTAGAATCACATTCTGAGCTGTTTTAAACCAGTATGCCTCCACAAATTTAATGCCTGCCAGAAAATCTATATCAGCTCAAACTTTAACCTCCGAATTTAAAAAAAACCTGCTTTTGATTTCTGTGGAGAGGAGTGTCTTAGGAACTTCATTTTTAAAATTTTGTGTTCCTGAAAACTGAGTGGACAATAAAGCATTGTCAAATCATTTGTTATAGAACAATGGATGTATCATTATAAGATAAGGCAGTGCAATCCTTTACATATTTGATCTAAGAGATGCGTAAGTAGATAGAGAACAAAAAAGAAGGATCCTGAAATTACACATCTTTTGGGTGTCAAATCATTTGTTATAGAACAATGGATGTATCATTATAAGATAAGACAGTGCAATCCTTTACGTATTTGGTCTAAGAGATGCTAAGTAGATAGAGAACAAAAAAGAAAGGTCCTGAAATTACACATCTTTTGGATAATTACACAAAGAGATGTTAAGGCATATAAGAAGCGGACTATAAATACAGTAATAACATCTTATGAATAAGGCCTATTATAAAATCAGTGAATTCACACAATGTAATCAATATATCAGTGGTTACCACTTTAGGATATTGAGATAACATTTTTCTAAAAAGCCATGCACCTATGACAGCAAAATGAAACAAAGGAAAACTCTAAACCAGCTTACAATCAGTAACAGGCATAATGTAAAATCATAACTGACTCTTCTGTGTTATCTATGGAAGATAAAACAGCAGAGATTGTAAGGAGAAATCAAATCTTTGACAAAATCGAGAGTGAACACTGTATCTTCTTTACCTACAAGCAGGTGTTTATCAGTGTTTCATCACAGCTGTTTTAGTCCAAGTCATCTTATGTCTTCAAAGAAAACTACTATACATCATACAATGTAGAAAAGTAATATTTAACTGTCTTCCACAGCTGTTTTAGTCCAAGTCATCTTATGTCTTAAAAGAAAATTACTATATATCATACAATGTAGAAAAGCAATATTTAACTGTCTTAGATTGCAATGCAAGATGTAACCAGAAGGACATATTCTATCACCATCTGTTAGAGCCAGGTGGGACAGTGTTCTTCATCTCCTCCTCGACCCATCCTCCCTCCAGGAGCTATCTGCTGTAAATGGGCCGATGAGTCTCACTGCATGATTGATAAAATTACATCATCCTATTGTGAGATGCTCAGCCCAGGGGGAAGAGCCAAGCATTCCTACCTGGATAGATTCTGAGATTTGGAACACCAGGGAGCTTTTCTTCACTGGATTCCCAGAGGAAGACCAGACCCTTCTATGCCACCACCACTGGACCTTCAGAGAAAAACTATGCCCTCCTACAGGATCACTGCTTCAACAGAACCACATTTGTCACTCCAGGAAGACTGAAGCAACCATTTATTGAGACTGCTACCGACACCCTGACCCACAGGGTGTCAGGCTGCATTCTGACTTTGTCTGCTTCAGCAGTAAAACTTTTTTCGTGAGCTAAATATTTCTAAACTTTAAAGAACTGCTGCAGATAAAATTCAAGGCTATAGGACTTAGTTAAGTACTTAAAATTAATAAATAATCCAAATAATACAGGGAGAAGGGGAGAGCTGCAGGTGCACAGGGGGGTGGAACTGTATGAGGTCCCGCTGTGTGAGACATGAGTGCGCACAGCCGCGTCCAAGGTGTCGTGCCCGGGGCTGGTGGCCAGGATGTGGTGGTGGATGTGCTGCCCTGCTGTGACCAGGGATATGAGGCACCAGGCAGCCATGGTGCTGGTGGAGGAGAAGACGTGGTGGTACTGGGAGGCAGCCACGGTGGTGGTGGAGGAGATTTGGTGGTACTGGCCAACCAAGAACTGCCTCAGCTACCTGCCCACACACAGGTGCCTACGGTCAAGACTGAGATCGTGTGGAAGGGGTTCCAGCATTTGGTGGCCCAGCAGCCCCTGGAAGGACTCAGTATGAAGAGGTACGAGCCACACGCCCCATCCTCCGGGCAGAAGAACAACATCACGGCGTGGCAGGAGTGTGTGAACAATTCCATGGCACAGCTGGAGCACCAGGCCGTGTGCATCGAGAACCTGGAGCTCATATTCCAGCACAACTGCAACGCCTGAATGGTGTACAATGAGCACCTGGTTCATATGATAGAACAAGCCCAGAAAGAGCTGCAGAAATTGAGGAAAAACATTCAAGACCTCAACTGGCAGAGGAAGAACATGCAGCTCACAGCTGGGGCTAAGCTGCGAGAGATGGAATCCGCGTGGGTCTCTCTTGTCAGTAAAAATTATGAGATTGAACAAATTATTGTGCATCTGGAAAATGAAATTTCACAAATCAAGAGGCAGCGTGGGGAAACAAACAAGCAGAATATCCAGCAAGATTTTCAGTGACTTAATCCTGACTTTCTTAGTGCAGCATGTGTTAAAAACTACAAACCAGACACTTTGGAGATGCTGTGTCTGTAGACACCTCTAGCTGGAGTTGTGTGAGATGGTAAAAGTGTTTTTCCGTAGTTTCTTTTCTTCGTGTTAAATTCACATCAATCGCATCTTTGGGGCCACCACATGTTGGAATAAATCAGCCGAGAATCCATTTTCTTCATGCAGAAAGCCAATTCTTTATTCACAAAGCTCGTATTTGTAGGAAATATCAGAATGCACTGTGTTAAACCTAATTGGTCAGCAATACAGTGAAACTCAGTTCATTGGTCAGTAAGGGCTATTGTATATCCCTATCAAATTTCCTCTCTAGATACATTTACATTTTCCTTTGTGGGTTCTCATGGGACAAATAGTATTGTTTACATAGGTGCATTTCTTTTTCACCCTCAGAATAGATTGTTGTGTTAAAACAAACTTCTCAAAATAGCTTCACATGGGAACTTGCAAATTGCTTGTAAGAACAACACTTAGAAGAAATGACAGGCCAGCTTTGGAAATTTTAGCAGAGTGAGGCCTGATTTCATAAGGCCTTTCTTTTATAATTCTTCTACCTGTCTACGCCAGTTCAACATGACTCACCTGCAGTGCATATCACTGCCACAGCTGTTGTAAACCTTCTTCTGAGTCAGAGAATGACTTTATGACCCAGAATACTGGCAGTGAGTACTATCCTTGTGATTTTCCCAATTAAGAGAGAATTGTGAGCTGTATCAGAGCACGGTGAGTCAGTTTGATGTAAGGGAAAACTAAACTACTGCACTAGGTCAGTATCCTCTTCCCTTCCAAGAGTCAGTGTTAGGAAAACCTGGAATCGTCTTGTGGTGGGACTTCTGAGAGCTCAGAAAGACTGCAGTGGATCATGGAATCCATTCTCCTTATTCCCAAATGCTCCAAGCTACTGTACCAGCTCACTACCATGGGGTGCACAGTACCTTTGCAGGGTTTTGAGGCTGGCAGCAGCATAGAGCTGAGAGGCAGCAGGGTTTCTCTGCTTTATTCTGAGAAATCATTTTGCTTCTTGAGAGTACCAAAGTGCAGGAGGTCTGACATTAAAACCACATGTGGTTCTCTGTAATTTTTTGCTGAAAAACATCCCAAATCTGCCTGAACTGATTTTGAATAACAAAATTTGGGTACCTTGTACTCTGCAGAGAACATGGTGGAATCAGTCAACCACCTACTTGCTGTTAAAATTGTGTCAGAAAAAAAGGGGCCATAATTTGGTATTGGGTACATAGATGAGCTATGAGGGCATGATAAACTTTACTTAGGCTGGTGGCAAGCCGGGTTTGCTCTGGTGCTTTGTCACC